GTTGGTTGCTGTATTTGGACAGCCACAGTGGCCCCAGTTGCTGTTTGACCACCAATTTTCCACCTGGCTGCTTCTGTTTTGCTATTGACTTTTGTTGAATGGTGCCAAATAGGTCACCCATGGCTCAAATTTTAGCAAATTCAACAGGAATTTCATCCTGCTGTTGTTACATAAAAAGGTGAAGGTCATCCATAAATGCCTGCTCTTGCTGTTATATAGAGAAGTCTACAGTACTTACAGTCAAGTTTTAGTTTTAATTTGAAAACTCCATTTAATGTCTACTCTCCCGCAAACATACCTCAAAATGTACACTCACCAGCCAGGCGGGCTGGTCTGAGTATTTCAAAAACTGATGATCAACTGGGATTTTCATGCACAACCATCTCTAGAGTTTACAGAGAATGGTCCGAAAAAAGAGAAAACTTCCAGTAAGCAGCAGTTGTGTGGACAAAAATGCCTTGTTGATGTCAGAGGCTAGAGGAGAATGGGCAGACTGGTTAGAGATGAGAGAAAGGAAACAGTAACTCAAATAACCATTTGTTACAACCAAGGTATGCAAAATTCCATCTCTGAATGCAAAACATGTGAACCCTAAAGCAGATGGGCTACAGCAGCAGAAGACCACACCGGGTGCCACTCCTGTCAGCTAAGAACAGAAAACAGAGGATACAATTCACACAGGTTCACCAAAATTGGACAATAGAAGATTGGAAAAGATGGTGCCTGGTCTGATGAGACTCGACTTCAGCTGTGACATTCAGATGATAGGGTCAGAATGTGGCATAAACAACATGAAAACATGGATCCATCCTGCACTGTATCAATGGTTCAGGCTGGCGGTGGTGGTGTAATGGTATGGGGGATATTTTCTTGACACTAGCAAGGTGTACCTAATAAAGTGGCCGGTGAGTGTATGATAAATGAACATGCTGCTTCCACAGATTCTATATCCATCTCATTTAGAATATCCTGTAGAACACAGGCAAATAAGGGCATTCATATTCCCAGTAAGGGAATGTATTTGTAGAATATTGGTCCTTGGGTTGTACATCTCTTGGGGAGCCGTGTTTCCTTCATGTTCTGAAATAAAATGGAAAGAATTTCAGTTTTTTTACCAAACAAACCAACAATACTAACAGAATCGTATGTTAAGAATGTCAGTTCATGCTGACTCTGGAAAGGAAACTTTGCTAGCTAGCAAGCTGCCAGATAAAATAATGTACAGGACGCCTTTCTTTTAATGGCTCCATTCCAGCTTGAGTAGCTGTGAGCTTTCCTGGTGGGCCTTATGTTTCAGTATTTCAGTGGGGCCAGTGACACCCAGCAATCTGACAAAGCTGTTAAAGGAATGCCGCACATCTTGTAAAGAATGGAATGATGCAATAGGAATGCATGATGAGAATTTACCATTGGAAAATCACATGTAGTACTGAGAGCATCATATATTCATGAACCTATTTTGAGTACATTAATAGCATGTGGCTTAAACGTTTGACCTATATTTAACACTTCTAAATCACTATTAATAGGGCATGCCTGCATCAATCTGTAGATCAAGTTCTCTAGTGTTTACATACCATACACCCCCTACTCCAACACACTTAAATGTATATGGATTTGCACAATGTTCAGACATCATAGCCATGGTCACAGATAAAGCCTCAGCACAGAATTGTTGCGACACTCGCCCAGAATCACTTCTGTCACTAAAAGTTTTTTTTAAATACTGAGTTTATACCAGCCTTTCACAACCTTTTTACCCAAAAATAATTTTTAGATCTCAGGAACCGTTCCAAAAACCAATTAATTGGTGGCTGGTGGAAAAAATGCCCCTTACATTGGTGGCACATTGGGAAAAATGTCCACCTTATGGTTTTGGTCAGAATGCCACCTTTACAGACAGCTAGAAAGATCATTGGCATCATGGAGCTGGCTCTGACAAATGCCTTTGACCCTTGTCGTATGTGGGTACCAACAAATTGGAGGCCAATCAGCCACAGTTCAAGGAATCCTTAGCAATATCTGGGGGAACCCAAGGGTTACACAGTACAATGTTTGAGAATGGCTGATTTCTACAATAGAATACTGAGAATGAATGTTTAAACTGAATTTATACCCAAAACTTTTTTTTATTTTGGATACATTGGATAAGAATTAGAAAACGCCTGTCAGGTTTTACTTTAGTCAAAGGCTCCACTGGAGATTTTCTTTAATTTCCTGTCTGATAAAAAGGTTGTCCTCAGAACACGAAGTTCTTGAAAAGGAGCCCTGCATAGTGGTAACACCTGTAGAAGGTAAAACTCCACTCTCTTGGCCTCAGAGACTCTGCTCTCTTCTGGTTCTCCTCCTACCTATCGCAGCGCTCTTTCAGCGTTACTTATAACTCTGGCTCCTCTTCTTCACTCCCTCTTTCTGTAGGGGTCCTTCAAGGTTCTGTCCTTGGACCCCTTTTCTTGTCCATCTACACCTCCTCCCTTGGTCACTTGATAAACTCCCATGGCTTTAAGTCCCATCTCTATGCTGATGACACACAAATCTATCTTTCTACCCCTCACCTCACCCCTTCAGTCTCCTCTCGCATCACTAACCTACTAAGTGACATATCGGCATGGATGTCACTCCACTTCCTCAAACTCAATCTTTCCAAAACTGAGCTCTTAGTATTCCCCCCAGCCTGTGCCCCCTCCCCTGACTTCTCCATCAAGATAAATAACACAATCATCATTCCCCCCCACATGCCAGGGTACTAGGTGTAATCCTAGACTCCCATCTGTCCTTTCAGCCCCAAATCCAATCACTGTCCAAATCTTGTAGACTTCACCTCCGCAACATCTCCAAGATACGCCCGTTCCTAACCTCGGAAACCACTAAGCAACTTATCCACTCCCTTGTTATAGCTCGCCTTGACTATTGTAACTCCCTCCTCATTGGTCTACCTCATCGCAGGCTATCCCCTCTTCAGTCTATCATGAATGCTGCTGCCAGACCCGTCCACCTTACTAACCGTTCTGTATCAGCCACCCCTCTCTGCCAATCCCTCCACTGGCTTCCTATTGCCCAACGGATAAAATTTGAAACACTAACAATAACGTATAAAGCCATTTATAGCTCTGCCCCAAATTACATCACCGATCTTGTCTCTAAATATCACCCAAACCGTACTCTCCGCTCCTCGCAAACTTCCCCCATCCTTTGGAACTCTCCAGAGCTTCCCCCATCCTCTGGAATGCTCTACCCCAATTTATCAGACTATCGCCTACTCTGCTCACTTTTAGGCAATCTCTGAAAACCTATCTCTTCAGGGAAGCCTATCCTGCCCTCAGCTAATACTGGAATCTTCTACTCTTCCAACCAGTCCATCCCCCACAGTTACTACCGTTTGTACCACTGTAGCCCCTCCCTCCTAGATTGTAAGCTCCAAGGAGCAGGGCCCTCAAATCCCTCTTGTATTGAACTGTATTGTTGCTGTATTGTTACCGTTATATTGTAAAGCGCTGAGCAAACTGTTGGCGCTATATAAATCCTGTATAATAATAATAGAATGTTCAGACCTTTTCTCATTCTATCCAAAACAAAACAAAAAAATAGTTTTAGGTATAGATACACTTTAAAGTGGGTCCAAAGGCTCAAGGCTTTTTTTACCTTCATGCATTCAACGCATGAAGGTAAAAAACTTTCTGTGTGCAGCGGCCCCCCCAGCCCCCCTAATCCTTATCTGATCCCCCTCCTACCCAGCAAAGTTCACAATAGCCTCGGCTGAGCTGATGGGGGCTGTTCCTCCTCATTGGCTGAGACAGCAACGGGAGCCTTCTGGCTCCCACTACTGTCAATCACAGCCAGTGAGCAAACGAGGAGAGAGAGGGGGGCAGGGCCATGTGTCTCATGGATGCATAGAGCAGCGGCTTAGCAAGGAGCACATAGCGGTGCCCCGGGGTAAGCAGCTTCCCTGGGGGGAAAAGCTTGAAGGGGAGGAGCCAGAATAACAGCGGGGAACCTTAAAAAAAGAGGATCAGGTCAGCTGTGTGTAAAACTACTGCACAGAGCAGGTAAGTATAACCTGTTTGTTATTTTATTTTAAAACAATGAAGCTTCAGTTTCACTTTAAGTAAGCCTACTTAAAAGACAAGTGCCATCTGATGACCCCCCCCCCCCCCCCCCCCCCCCATTTAATCCATCACTGCAAGCCTGTCAGTGTTTGCTGCAATACACAGAGTTGTAAATCTAACAAATTAAGCTTACTGGTTGGAAGGAAGCACACAAAGTTGACTCAGTCAGTGAGCTGTTGTTTCCTCACTATCCAATCACAACCTTAATTAATTTGTATTGCTTTGACTGCAGTGGTGAAAAGTAAATGGTCAGGACTTTGTACAGTGTCAGCCATATGTGTATAAAAAGGCTGGCTCAAGAAAATTACATTTTTTTTCCCAGATCAAACCCTTCACAAATACGTTTTTCAAATGTGGTTTTTGCTTTTTGCTTACACTTCTACTCTAATGATATAAAAATATAGTAAACCGTGCAAATAACAATGGAGTAAAACAGGTCATGGCATTGAACAAAAGGTTTTAAGTTGGTAGGCGAGTGAAAGCTGATTTTTTTTTCTCAGTTGCTAAAGGTACTCCATATATTTTTACAATGTTACTGAACAAAATCATAAGTACTATCTAGTGTACCATTTTCCTCCATATCAGCCAGTGCTAGCAAATAATGATACTGTATAGTGTATACTGTACTATTGAATGGAGAAAATCTTTATTACAGCAATATATATAATCATGAACAGCTTGTGATGAACAATTATGATGTTGAATGACGGGATTGATCTGGTGAAGAATTTCATTTGGCATCAAATCACAAGAATGTACCAACCAGGTATTTCTAAAAGGATGAAATGTGCTTATTACACTATATTGCCAAAAGCATTGGGACATCCCTCCAAATAATTGGATTCAGGTGTTCCAATCACCTCCATGGCCACAAGTATATAAAATCAACCACTTAGGCTGCTTCTACAAACATTTGTGAAAGAGTGGGTCTCTCTCAGGAGCTCAGTGAATTCAAGCGTGGTACCGTGATAGGTTGCTACTTGTGCAATATGTCCATTCGTGAAATTTCCTTTCTACTAAATATTCCACGGTCAGCTGTTAGTGGTATTATAACAAAGTGGAAGCAACTGGGAACGGCAGCAACTTGGTCACTAAGTGGTAGGCCACATAAAATAACGGGGTCAGTGCATGCTGAAGTGGACAGTGCGCAGAAGAAGACCTCCATACTTCGTGTGGCCTTCAGATTAGCACAACAACAGTGCATAGAGAGCTTTATGGAATGGGCTTCCATGGCTGAGCAGCTTCATCCAGGCCTTACATCACCAAGTGCATTGCAAAGTGTCGGATGCAGTGGTGTAAAAAACACCACCACTGAACTCTAGAGCAGTGAATATGTGTTCTGTGGAGTGATGAATCATACTTCTCTGTCTGGCAATCTGATGAACGTGTCTGGGTTTGGCGGTTGCCAGGGAAAGGGTACTTGCCTGAGGGCATTGTGCCAAGTGTAAAGCTTGGTGGAGGGGGGATTATGAATATTGAACCCTATGGACTAACATTGGGATGCCATTAAATTTCATGTGCATGTAACGGCAGGAGTCCCAATACTTTTGTCAATATAGTGTATATGGTTCATTACTGAATGTTCAATAGGAAAAAAAATGAAAAAAAAAAAATTATGTAAACATGTTGAAGTTTCTGTGCCTTTATAGTTATCAAGGTGATCTACTGTATTTGTATTGTTGCCAAGATTACCTAACTTATCATCTGCATGTATTTGCCATGAGATATAGGTGAATTTCACAATGGACATTCCTATTAAATATTGCAGTCAAACCCTTTTGACTTTCACAGTGTGTCTGCAGCCACAGGTACCGACTGTGGTAAATGTGTACAAAAAACAGCTTTGGACTTTATTTAATGTGACGCTAAATTATTATTTATCACAAATAGTCCATACAAATCCAGTACTTAATGGACCTGTAATGTACTTTTTATTAAAGTATTACTAAACCCAAAAAAGTAAAATCAGTGTGTATATGCATAAAGCATGCTTGGTATGCTCACTGTGGAACCTAAAGGGTTTGTGGGAATTGTGTAAAAAGGCTGCTTGAGCCTGTCTTCTTTGTCTCCCCTTCTTCACAGTCCCCTTTCTATCAGCTGATAGTACAGAGTAGTGTTCAGTGTAGTGTGTATTGCTAGAGAGGTTTTTTTTTTTGGGGGGGGGGAGGGTGCATGTGATCGGCACAGGCCTATCAGGCACTGTCCAGACAGAGGGTCAGGAGTCGTGCAGCCTCATAGAACAGTCAGAGGAGAATGAAATCTCCTACAAGCTTTAACTAGTGATCTGCCTCACACTGATAGAAGTCACAAGACTGCTGTATACTGCTGATGAGAAAATGTATAGCAGTTTATATTTTCTAAAATAATTTCATTTCTGTGTTCTGTGTACTGTGGGAGACCAGATGCAGGTTTATTGGTTTAGTAACACCTTAAATCATTTATTACTGTGTTTTTCTGCCTCATAATGTGTTCCACGAGCCCCCAAATCTAGTCTTTTCCCCCACTATCCACACTACAAATCTTAACAGTCCATAGTCCCTAGCTCATCTCAGGAGTGAGCCAGAAAGAGTGGCTACATGCCTACATAAACTGGGACCATGGTGAACGAAAGTAGCCACTCTCAGGAAGTTGGATCACAACAGCTAAAAGCAGGAATTTGAAGATTTGGAGGAGGCTGATAACAATGTACTGTATACAGTAGATACATAGTTTATCAAGTTTAAAAAGACACAAGTCCACTGTAGTTCAAATATTAGGAAAGAAACAGACAACCTACATATGCACAATTCTATACCCACAGCTGATCAAGAGGAAGTAAAAAAGTAAGGTCCAATTTGTGCCAACGGAAAAAAAAAAAATTCCTGATCCCCCAGGAGGCAATATAAGGTACTATAAAGAAAAAATCCTCCTGAGCTTCAATGGATAATCCGATTTAAAGCTGCTCACACCCATCTTTTTACCAAAAAGTATGCACAATAATGAGATCTAGTTGGTGTAGCGCTAGTAAGAATACATATACACAGATAACAATATATGATAAATAATAAATGACACACAAACCAAGTGAATGATTATGCAATGCAGCTCACTTTTTGGATCAATCACGTTCCGCTCGGGAACCACCCCATCTAAGAGAGACTGCACCGGATACCACAGTAGAGCCAATATCCTCCAGACCTCCTCCAACCACTGGATACTCTGGTATTGCCACTCACACCAAAAGGATCATATTCAGCAGGGGCGGACTGACCATTGGGGAACTCGGGCATTGCCCGAGGGCCCGGAGTCAGTAGGGGGCCCCATGAGATGTCCCTGGTACCTTTCATAGGCTTTTTTGGGTGTGATTTGAGTGTGGGCGACAGAGGCCCCATGATCCCCTATTGCCCGGGGGCCCCATGAGTTGTCAGTCCGCCCCTGATATTCAGAGAAAAAAGTTGGGGAAAAAGGGGGGAGTTATTTGTATGTTTCTCCACGTGTTAGCTTTGCATAATCATTCACTTGGTTTGTCTGTCATTTATTATTTATCATATATTGTTATCTGTGTATATGTATTCTTACTAGCGCTGCACCAAATAGATCTCATTAATATAAGGTACTAGAAAGCATTAGAAATATATACTTGAACGAGAGTTTAGTGTCACTTTTACCCACTGTTTGGTGTGATCTTTTCACAACCCAACACAGTCTGGAAAACTGTTAATTGTCCACCTTTTTTTCTTGCTTGTTGTAGAAGCTCAGGCTTTTCATTGTTCTCCTTCACAATCAATCACATAACTCCTGCTTTCTATTCTTTACCCAAGCTTGGCCCTATTTACAGTCTTGTAAACTGCTGGTTCTGTTTAGTCTTGCTAAAGCTATAGCCTTGTTCCTGCTGGTTGTGTAACCAGAGGGCTTTAGCTCTAAGGCACCTTCCTGTGGCTTCTCACATGCATTTAGGTCTTTTGAGTCCACAAATTCTGCCGGTCAAACCCAGGTTAAAAAATTAGCTTTCATGTTTTCATGGTTGAGAAACTGTCATGTGAAGAAAGGAGGCTGCCATTGCTGATCTCTAATTTTAGGAATGTTAGTTCTCTGGCTGTCCTGCTCATGCTTTGCTTTCGATGTTGTCTGAGCAGCTGAACCAGAACAAGTATAGAGATAAGAAATTCTGGCACTTTCCCAACACCCATTTACAGCAAGCTTGTTCCTGGTCTGTGAATCAAAAGTACTGAAGTCAGGGCAACTATTGCGCCTGTTAATGTCTCTGAACTGAGACGTCATTGAACGTGCCATTCACAGACACAGTGTACAGAGTCAATCTGAGCGTCTGTACATTGATTGGTCATGGAGAGACCTATCACAACGATCACACATGTAAACAGTATACTGTCTACATCTGGAAGTCTTCCTCTTACCCTTACAATGATCAAAAGGGAGGGAAAGAGGAACTAATTAACAAATAATTTATACATTCATTTCAGAGCAAAACGCAGATCATGGCAACAGCAGATAAGAATAGTTTTTTAACCCAATCTCCACCTCCCTCCTTCTTTTCTATACATCTGATCTCCAGCTTGCCTTTCTTTGTTACCTGAAAGTTAACCCTACATCTTTTAGAGTAAAAAAATAAAACAAAACCCAGTGTTTGGTAAATACAACCAAAGGAAAACTCTATCTGGTTTGAAAAAGATGTATAATATTAATTGGGGTATAGTGTTGCAGTCAGTCAAACTATTACAGCACTGGAAACTGAAAATTGGCCTGGTAATACAGGTAGTCGTGTTACTAAAAACAAGCAATATCAGTGCTCAGGATCAATAGTGGAATGAGATAGATCAATGAGAGTAATGAGTCCGTGATGAACTCCACACAGAGGAGTAGGACAGCTGGGAATGATTCAGCTGGAACACACAATTCGGCAGCTCCTTGTCAATGGATATGGGAAATCCCTCATGGACATGCAAAAGAACAGAAGCAGGGCACCAGTTAAGTGCGAAGTAAAAACCATAGCACTTTATTTCACTCACTTACATGGAGAAAACCTGTAAACAGCTCTGGTGGCAAGGGTGGTGTGTAGACACAGCTCTCTCCACTGTGGATGAACCGATAACCGCTGCAGGACACAGGGCTCGTGGATGTAATCAGCAGCCTATCTCCCCTCACTACCGCCAACCAACAAAGGATAGAGGCAGGTGCTGGTGAGTGACAAATGGGCGGGCCGCAAAAACAATTAAATATGGTGCCGCAGGGTCACAGAGGGGTAAATGTGGAATGGTCAGCAATAATAAGGGCCATGCATCTGGTATCTGTGGTCCACACAGGACAGGCTTTACAAACCCATGTAGATATAACTAAATAAAAAGGACAAAAAAACCTGAACCATACTAGTTCCACAATGTGGGGTCTATCATGATGGATTTGGTTAGGTCTATGTCTATGTATTCAATTTTTATGCACCTTTAGGTGCAATTATATACATATATATACTTGTATATTCATGATCTAGCAGTCCATGTCATTTATATATTTATACATGCTCTTTTGAGTTGTTTTCATTGTTTCTTTTGGTCTTCCTTATTCAATTTTCCCCTTGGATTATTTCAGCCATTAGTGGTCTATCCTTCATCACCTGGCTATGGGGCTTTTGCATGCCTAACGTCACTGTGGATGATCATGTCATTCTCTCTTCATTACTTCCCTTGGTGGTGGTGAGGTTACCCCCTCCCTTATTTTTTTTGTCTTGGCCTATTATGCCAGACATGTTTTTTCATGTTTATATTTTTGTACTGCAATAAAATGTTGTTTTTTTACAAGTATTTACTCTAGAAGCTGCAGTTTGTCCCCATTCGGACCCTTTTAACCCGTGGGTTCTTTACTCATTGTGGTTTCCTTCCCTTTTATTTTCCAATACTATTTGGGTCCCGAGGACACCACATACATATATATGTGAGTCAGCACTATATACATTTCGGCTATTATTTGAATATCATATATTGTATTATATATGTAGCCCAGATCTTTGGGAATCCTGGTGTGTTTTACCTTTTTTATGTGTTCAAACAATACTAATAAAAATTATTATTAAAATCACAATGACAGTAAATAGTAAAAAACTATAAAAATTGTACACAAACACTAGAAATGGAGAGGGGGAGGGAAAAGGACATCCTGCATCAATGAATATATAAAGAATATATATATATATATAAAGAATATATACTGACATGATATACATATGAAGAATTATAAAAAAATGGATGCTTTATCAAATAATGTTAAATATAAATATAAATGTCCAACAATGCCACTATCAAACCCGCCCCGCAGGCCAGAGTACTTGGTGTCATTCTGGACTCCAACCTATCCTTCCAGCCTCAAGTCCAATCTTTAACAAACTCATGCAGACTCCACCTCCGCAACATCGCCAAAATACGCACGTTCCTAACCCCAGAAACCACTAAACAGCTAA